ATGCATATTTCTGGGATTGGACATGGGACCTAAAGAGAGATCTGGCAAACACATGAATCCCTCAGCCTTTTAAGCACCTAGCAAGCATTTATCTCACAGAGAGGCTCTGTACTGTGGGCCTTGGGTCTAAGCATGGGCTTCACGTGATCTCACATCACAGCTCTTCCTTTACTGTGCAGTCATGAAATCTTGAGCAAATTGCTTCACCAAGCCTCTGCTTCTTCACTGGTAGGACGGAGATAACAGGAGCATCTTATGTTTTGCAATGTAGGAAGAACGGATATGCTGACCACGTAATGGCCCTACCCACTGCAAATCCATAGAAGGGACACTCCCCACATGGATTCTCTTGAGAATCAGGGGTTAAAGCGACAGCCCCACAACATCTCAGTATTTCCAGCAGAGCTTTCCAAAGAGTTTCCAAATGGTCTAAATCCTTTTGGATGGTGACGCGTATCCCACAGTGGTGTTTGTCTCTGAGATTGGTCTTGGTTTATATGAAAAGAAAAGAGGTTCACTTGAGGTTTATTGATGCAAAACAAAAAAATGAAAAAAAAATTATTTGGCAACTTTTTTGTTTTGAAGAAAGAATACAGTTAGGATGAAAGCCCCAAAACACAATAAAGCTATAAAGCATGTTCTCTAAAAAAAATAATAGCTTAGATGTATTAAGCAGTTAGTCTAGGACAGGCACTGCTATTCACTTTATACGCAATCACATCTGTCATCCTCACACCAATCCTAGGAGGGAGAAGCCAATATGATCTTAATATAACTAATGAGAAAACTGAGGCTGCCAAGCCATTGAGAATCTCACCTAACACCACTCGGATTGTAAATGGGAAATCAGCCTTAAAACCTAGACATCATAACCCCAGCATTTCCAAACCTACCCACCATCCCACCACGCTCTGTGGCCTAACAGGATGAACTTTGCCTCCCAGCTGAAATTTCATGGACCCTGGAATTGGAGCATGGAATGAAATCACATAGCTTTACCAGGGAGATTGGAGGAAGGCCTCCTGTAGCCTCTAGGTCTCATAAAAATGTTATAAATATGGGTAGACCCGGGAGTATTTCATCAACTGGACCAGTATCAAGGCTTCCAAAGAGCTCCCAGTATCATTCCTAACCAACCATGTGAAGATACGCATGTTAATAGCCTCTCTGAATCTCAGTAACTCACCTGTAAGATGAGAATGATAATATCTCACTCCTAGAGTCTTGGGAAGATTGGAAGATATCATCTACATGAAATGCTTACAGAAAGCCTGACAGGAAATGCTTTACACTGGTTTTTCTTGACGATTCTTGATCTTTAACTTATTTTTTATTCTATTTATTTATTTCATTTCATTTATTTTTCGGAAAGGAGTCTTGCTCTGTCACCCAGGCTGGAGTGCAGTGGCACCATCTCAGCTCACTGCAACCTCTACCCCCAGGCTCAAGCGATTCTCGTGCCTCAGCCTCCCAAGTAGCTGGGATGACAAGCACGTTCCATCATATCTGGCTATTGATCTTTAACTCCTAACTCCCCACCACCCTGGATAAACTCACATCACCATTTTGCCTAAATCTGCTAGTTTGATAGGCCCCAACTGTTAATACAAAGAGAAAATAATGCATGCTCTAGGGTTGTCTGATTTCTGTGGTGTAAATTTGAAGCTACTAATGGCTATGATAAGAAAATTTACACCATGGAAACTGGCCAACACTACAAATCAGAGTTGCTGGTTTTTTGGTTTTTTTGTTTTTTTTTTTAACCAAAATACCACTTTTCTTTTTTGTTTTTTAACTAGAACCTTCATCACGAATTCATCTGTCAATTCATTAAATATTTATTGATAAGATACCATTCCTGGGCTTGAGGATAGACCAGTGAATAGGAGAGGTAGGGCTCTGCCTTCATGGAGCCTACATTTTAGTGAAAGGTGACAAACCATAAACAAGTAAATCAGTGAACTTGACAATTTCAAATTGCAATAAAAGGTAAGAAGAAAATAAAGCAAATGTAAAGTGTGACTTGGGGAGGAGAGGCCATCACTCAGGGGCTGTAAGGAAAGGCACCTCTAGGAAGGTGACACCTGAATAGAGCGAAGGATGGCAGGGAGCCAGCCACAGGAATAACCGGGGCAAGAAAACTCCAGGCGGGAGCACATGCACGCAGAGGCTATGAGGCAGAAGGAGACATAGCTGAGCCTGGAAATGCAGCCAGCCTGCCACTGCCAGATGAACACAGCGCATGGCTGTGTGATGATGATGGCAAGACAGGAACGAGAGCCAACCCTGACAGGGCCTTACAGGCCACACCTGGTGGTGCTTGAGTGGCACCAGCAGGTGCATCTGCAGCTCCAGCTGAGGCTGGATGAGGCAAGTGTTGGAAGAGATGGGGGCTTCCTAGCATGCTCCCATCTGAACCCTTGCTCTCACCTAATAGAACCCTACTCTACTCTCATTATCAGCTTCAGTGGTATCAAGTCCAGGACTAAGGCAGGCACTTCCCCAGAAGAAACACCAACAGAGACTGTCCATGGAACCAAATGATCTCCAAACTGAATCAAATAAGCTAGGAGACAATTCATCTTGAACAAGAGACAAGAGAAGTTTGTATATCTGCTACCAGTAGGCACTCTGATACAATATTTTGATTATGAGGTCATGTTGCACAACAACCAATTTCTCTAACTTGACAGGTACCAGATGCACACATTTAAGTTGTGTTGACAGAAGCTCAGCTGTATCCAGTGACTTGTGACGGGCATCTGTTTCCTTCTTTATTTCAACTGCATCCTTGCCCTGTTTCAGAACCCTGTCTAATACCTACAATTGTACCCAAGAAACACAATGTTGGGCAAGGGATTCAACACTGCTCTTCCTCGGGCTCCTCATCTATAAAATGAGCTAATAATATAACAGTCCATGCTGGAGTGGGCAATATGAGGCCTGGATAAATTGAGTTGATGCTTTTACAAGCCCTTAGAGCAATACCTGACACAGAGTTAAGTGTCCGATAAATATCAACTAAGAAATTGATCGCTAATCAACACTTCTCCATCTGCTCTTTATGGAACTTTGCTCTAGAAAAAAAAAAAAGCAATCACAGAATTCAGGAGTCTGAATAACCTGTACAGGTTGAGCACCCAAAGTCTGAAAATCTGACATCTGAAATGCTCCAAAATTTCAAACTTGTTGAACACCAGCATGATGCTGAAAGGAAATCCTTATTTGGAGCATTTCAGATTTTGGATTTTCAAATTTGTGATGCTCAACTGATAAGTATAACGCAAATATTCCAAAATCCAAGATGATCCAATTGGAATAAGGAAGAAAACAGATGTCTTTCACAAATCACGGGACACAGCGGGGTTGTCATCAACCCGTCCCTGTACCTGAAGCTGTGAAAATCTGAAATGCTCCAAAAAATCCATAATCCAAAACTCTTCTGGTCCCAAGCACTATGAATAAGGGATACTCTACCGTTCTGTTGTTTATCCACTTTCTGCCCTTGGCTGGCGAAATTCCCCAGGGCAGGGGACTAAGATTTTCTTCCAGAAGCTCCCTAGGAAGCTCTTCATATAATTCTTATTTCCTCCTGCTCAGTCCTCTACAGAGAAGGGCAGACGATCAAAGCCAGTTTGGTTTGTAGCAGGGCAAGTGGTTCTTACTCTCCAGCAACACAGCCCAGTGCCCTAAGCCTTCTGGTCAACCACTCTTCATTATTTTTCCACTTTTTCCAGAAGAGTTGGGGTTTCTTTGCATCCTTTTTAAAATATGTTACAGAGACATGAGCATAACCAATGCCCTCGGACAGAGGCGTCCTGTCAAGAAGGCCCCATCTCTGGGTCTAGGTCCTATGTGCCACTGAGGTCCCTGCAAAGCCCTTCTTTCCCAGCGCATCTGTCTGGGGTCACTTCTGACCCCAAGCTCTTTTCTTCCAATATTTGCACCTAACAAGCCTTTTTTTTTCTTGCATTTGTACTGTTTGAATCTCATCAAGCATATATTTGTGTGTGTTCCAATGGTAAAAATAATATTTTACCATTTACCTACTTTTTTCAAAGAGCATACATCCTCTAAATAGTAAGTGGTAGGCAGCGTGCTGAGGGCTGGGGCTACCAAGGTGAGTCAGAGAAACCCCTGAGTGTGCTGTGCTACCTGCCTGGTGCAGGAAACAGACATCCGAACAGACCACGGGAAAGAAGTGGGTTCTGTGACAGTGAACAAATGTCCAGGAGGGACATGGGAGGCTGCCTCCAGGGCTGATCTAAAGAGACCCCCATGCCCACTCCAGGCTTTCTGGGGATTTTACTGCTGCTGCCACTGATGTGAAAGGCGGTCCGTGACGTCGGTGCTCTCCCTTCCTCTCTCTTCCATCCTTCCCAGGACTCTGTGCCTTGGGCCAGGCAAGCTCAACCTTAAAGAGTGGAGGAAGAGGTAAGAAAGAATGAATGAATATTGGCCAGGTGCGGTGGCCCACGCCTGTAATCCCAGCACTTTGGGAGACCAAGGCTGGTGGGTCACCTGAGGTCAGGAGTTGGAGACCAGCCTGGCCAACCTGGTGAAATCCATCTCTACTAAAAATACAAAAATTAGCCAGACGTGATGGTGCAGGCTGTAATCCCAGCTACTCAGGTGTCTGAAGCAGGAGAATCACTTGAACCCGGGAGGGAGGTGGAGGTTGTGGTGAGCCAAGATCGTGCCACTGCACCCCAGCCTGGGCAACAGAGCGAGACTGTCTCAAAAAAAAAAAAAAAAAAGTATATATGAGTGAATGAATCTACTTCTTTTTCTATTAAGACAAAAAGGCCCCAATTAGTATTTTCCAGAGGGAAAGAGATAGATGAGGTAATAGCAGCTGAGAGCACCTAGAAAAAAACAGCACTTTCCAGCTGTAGCTCTGTCCAGTGAAAACGCTGGACTCAGGGCAAGCACCGTGAAGCCCCAGGCAGGAGAGGCCAGCCCAGGAGGGCCCTCTGCCCGCCCCGACAGACCCCACTCACAGTCTCTGCCGAACTTCTGCCCGTGGAACAATGGCACTCCGAACTCCTGCTCCAGATCCTCATCTTCAGCTAACAAATCAGAAAGATGAACGTCTGCAGGCAACGCAGAAAAGATCACAGAGATCCCTACCCAGGTTTGTCCTCTTACTCAAAGAAAGAATGTTGTGCATTCAGGACGAGTAACGACTTGCTGTGGCTTATCTCCTTCAATCCCAAATAGTTCTCATAGTTGGCTGAGAGAGGAGAGACCAGCAGCCCGTAATACCATCTATGATGCCTTCTCCCTTCTCTCCCTTCCAACATTTCTCCCTGACAACCCCACACCAAGAGTAAACAGACAGGAAAGCAATGATGAGCGACAAAGTTTTGAGCAACAAAGCAGGTCAAGTGGGGAATGAATGCTCCCTCAGCAAAACACAGAGGATCCGATTCAAGAGTTCATTGTGAATATAGGCACATAGGTTAAGTCTGCATACACCAAAAATAAAAATAACCATGCCTGATTTCAAGACTGAGAAAGAAGAAAAAACTTATTCGGATAGATACGGTGGTCATCTTCACAGCCTTTTGAGCTAGCCAATAGTCACTTCAATGGCCTGAGTTATGCAGTAACTCACTCTGGGTTCTGAAAGACACAGTGGGCTCACGGTCACCTTTGGGTGTCTCTCCCTGCACAGATAAACCAGCGGCAAGCCGAGGGCATGAGATAGAAGCCTGTCTACGAGGGAGGAATTATTTTTTACAGGCAATCTGTGAGCACCACTGGAAATGCTCTTCTGTGATGAAATTATGAACGCTTTCACATCAAACAAAAATGTCTTGTCTAAACCCTGGGTGAATATTGGATGTCATTTTTTTTTCTGCTCGGCATTTTGATATAACTATGCAATAATCTCCAAGTAATTTCATGTTTACATATACCAGGTGACACATGGCATATGTGAAATTATGGCACTCAGTAAGGAATATTAAAGGCATCTAATGCATAATGAAAACTGTATGTTGAAGAATAATTTTTCTTCTACAGTTTTATAAGTAGTTGACAAAAAGCTGACAGGAGAAAAATTCTTCCAATAATGGAAGTACTCTCAGGTTTAATTCTCTTATAACAATTCTCCTATTATGCATAAAGTCAAAGACAGAAGAAGTCATTGGGTTATTATCTAAAGAAAAGCATAATTGCAAAACTATTGCAATCAATGCTGTTGAACATAATTCTGTGGATTAAAAAATTAATAATTTTATATGAAGACACATTGAATTAAAATTTTAGGTCAAGTCGATCTTTCAAAGACAGACTGATTACCATTTTGAACAAAAAGAATATGCCACGTGGTATAGTTTATGTCTACCCTTTGTCTAAGGAGGCAAAATAGATTTGAACAATTATTTAATTGAATCTACTTAACCTCATTGATTATTTACACCTAAAATAACTGCTTGTTAAATATCAGGCTTTCTGTCTTAAAATTGTCCAGATCATTGCCTCAGATCTCCAAAATGCTCTGCTATTAATACATGCCTAAATAAATATACCTAATTAAGCAAAACAAATACAGATTTGGTTCACTAATCCTCTTCATCAACAAGGTCATTTATTAAACACCTGTTTTGTGCTAAAAAGGAAGCTTGTGGTAATGAGCCTTTCTCCTGATTAAAAAAATTAAGATTTCGGAAGAGGCAGACCATGTTTTCTGCAGCCTGGGCCACATCACGTCACCATTTTTTATTTTTTATTTTATTTTTTTTAATTTTTTTTGAGATGGAGTCTTGCTCGTGTCCCCCAGGAAGCTGAGTGCAGTGGCCGGATCTCAGCTCACTGCAAGCTCCGCCTCCCCGGTTCACAGCATTCTCCTGCCTCAGCCTCCGAGTAGCTGGACTACAGGCGCCCGCCACCTCGCCCCGGCTCAGTTTTTTTGTATTTTTAGTAGAAAGACAGGGTTTCCACGTGTTAGCCAGGATGGTCTCGGATCTCTTGACGCTCGTGATCCACCCGTCTCAGCCTCCCCAAGTTGCTGGGATAAAACGAGGCGTGGAACCACACGCGCCGGCCTTCGTTTTTCTTTTCCTTTTTTTTTTTTTTTTTTTGTGAGATGGAGTCTCGGTCTGTCGCCAGGCTGGAGTGCAGTGGCATGGTCTCGACTCACTGCAACCTCCACCTCCCGGGTTCAAGGAATTCTTCTGCCTCAGCCTCCTAAGTAGCTGGGACTACAGGCGTGTGCCACCATGCCTGGCTGATATTTGTATTTTTTATAGAGACGGGGTTTCACCATGTTGTCCAGGCTGGTCTTGAACTCCTGACTTCAAATAATCCATCTGCCCTGGCCTCCCAACATGCTGGGATTACAGGCGTGAGCCGGCGAGACTGAGCCCACATCACTCTTTAAGCCTCGCGTCCTCTGCCCGGTTAGGCAGCCTGCCTCTGCCCACACAGCCCACCTTGTCTCAACTTCTACCCTTATTTGGTACATTACATTTTCGGGTGCGATTTCTGCTTCACAGGCAGCAACACGTGCTAAAATCCTTCCAGGCACAGAGGGAATATCAGCTGCTGCATGAGCTCTTCCCCAATGTGGGACATCCATGGTTCATTGTTTAGAGCAGCTTAAAAGAATGACGTGTGCTAAAATGGAAACGCTTGAGCTACATGACATTTAAAGGAAATGGGCAGAAGCACGTGCAGGTTATTCTCCACCATCACCGCGCAGCCCCATAATCTGCCTGCTTAGCCCTGGAAGGTGGCGGCTGATTGAGTTTGGCTGAGTGAAGACAGCAGAGATGTCTGGGAGGCAGGAGCGACTTCAGGTTTTCCTCCCCTGTGCCCTCCCTACTTGGGCACCACCTCACGGCGATAACGGGGTTCTTCCTGGGTTCCTTGATCCCGGTGGCCTTTTTCAGGGTGCTGCCTCTGGTTGGGCTCCTTCACTAACGCGTGTCTTTATGTTGCCCTCAGTCCCGGGGTGCTGTGGCTCCCCACTTCCTGGTCTCTGGGGTCTCATTGTGTCCTTATCACATCCACCAGCAGGAGACACTGGAGCCAGGTCCAGCGTATTGAGATTGTTTTCAAGTAGTTTGAATGATATCTCATGATTTTTATTTGTTCTTAGAGGTCTTCCAAAAGGCAAAGAAAAAGAATACACTTTTTTTTTTTGTTTTGGCCAGGTGCAGTGGCTCATGCCTATAATCCTAGCACTTTGGGAGGCCAAGACAAGCACATCGTTTGAGCCCAGGAGTTCAAGACCCACTTGGGCCACAGAGTGAAACCCTGTCTCTATAAATACTTTAAACACGAACCAGGCCTGGTGGCACTCACCAGTGGTCCCAGCTACTCAAGAAGTGGAGGTGAAAGGATCGCTTAAACCCAGTGGTCAGGACTGCAGTGAGCCATGATCGTGCCATTGCACTCCAGCCTGGGCAACAGGGTGAGACCGTGTTTCCAAAAAAAAAAAAAATGCCGTTTTTGTAGCACAATAAAACATTTAATCTTTTCATTGTCATATAAGTCCATTGGATTCTGTTATTAAAAATCACCATTTTTATAACCGATTTTTAAAACATTTAATCTTCTAATGGTCATATAAGTCCATTGAATTCTGTTATAAAATCAAGATACATTACAGAATCTTTGAGGTCTTACTTTTCCCCTGTCTTAAAATGTTTCATTATTTTTTAATCTGAGGGATTATATCATTATTACTCATCCTTACTCAGCGATTATTCCTAATAATGCTAAAAAATATTAAAATAATAAGAGAGGGAGGCGATATGGAAGGCCTAGGAGGCGATGCAAATGCCAAACGAGTAATAGTTTCCAGTTTTCTTCTTCCAGTTTCCAAAGGATTGCACAATCTTCCGAGAAGGTTCGGAAAAAGACTGGCAGCAACATCTTTGTGAAATGTTGTAGTTCTCACTGACCAGCGTTGAGAAATCAGAACTTTTTATTTTCTATTTTTTATTAATGACAAATCAGAAAACTCACAGAGGAAAACCATCCACACATACTAATCAGAAGATGGAAGCAAAGAGACGGAGATGAGTTCTCTAGACTCCAGTGAAGTCAGAATGGAAGTGTAAGTGAAATCACAGATGGTGCACTTTCAGGAGATGATACTCTAGATTAATTTTCTTCAGCCCAAGAATCGTTGAGTGATAGTTACCAAGGGCTGAGAAAAGAAGTAGGAGGAAATTTTGGGGGGTGATGGAAGTGTTTTATGAGTTGATTCTTAACGTGTATTATTCTACCTATACCTTTGAAAAAAATTATATACATGAAATGTTGGAACTTTGTTGTATGTGAAGCATGCCTCAGTAAGACTGAACTTATTGATTATCCATCACTGTATAACAAACTACCCCAGAACATAGTGGCTTAGAACAGCATACATTTACGATCTCAGCTTCTTTGGGTCTGGGATCTGGCACAGCTCGGCCAGAACCTTCCACAGGCTGCAGCCAGCAGCAGCTGGGCTGTGGTCACCACATAGCTCAGCCAGGAAGGGGTCACTTCCAAGCCACAGGGTTGTTGGCCAGACATAGCTGCTCACAGGCTGTCGGTTGGAGGCCGCCCTCAGGTCCCTGCCTCTCCACGGGGGCTTTCTCCACCATGGCAGCTTGCTTCATGAAGCACCAGCTCTGGAGGGCGGTGGAGCCTGCTACCTCGGCAGTCACGTTTCGTAACCTAATCCTTGAAATGAGACCCCCTCACTTCTTCTGAGTTCTGCCAGGGAGAACCAAGCCACTAAGTCCAGCCCCCTCTCCAGAAGCCAGGGCACCCAAGGGTGGTGTGAATATCAGGGGACGGGTGTTATCGGCAGCTGTTTAGAAGTCTGCCCACCACAAATATATCTCTATGGACCACCAGGAACCTTTTCTCTAATGAAAAGTTTACTTTTCATTATGCCTTTATTCTCATGCCTATAAACTATCTGTAGAAAAAACTTTAAAAATACTTAAAATGTACAATTATGAAGCGTCTTTTAGACCCAGACAGCACATGGCAACTATGTTTTCAAGTTGCTGAGGCCTCACTCTGCTGAGAGTTAACTCTGAGTTGTCACCACCAAGAGCTTCTCATTTGAGTCACCCTGCATGAATTTTGCTTCCTTCAGGAACCCTCATTGATAAAGACAATGCATAGAATTTGAAAACGTTGTTTTTGTTTGTTTGTTTTTGTTTTGTTTTTAAGGAACTCATAG